AGACTGCAAGAGTGCCTTGGCATCCTTGAAGTGACTGGACTGACCTTGAAGGAGCTGGGGGTGGTGACGGCCGACAGGGAGCTCTGACGTGGGCTGGTCCATGAGGTCACGAAGAGTTGGAGACGACTGAACGAATGAACAACTACATAGAAGTTACATAAAAAGTGATTTATTTATTTTTTTGATCGTGTCAAGAGCAACTTGAGAAATTGCAAGTTTTATGAAAAGTGATGAAGAACAGATACAAATATGCTATCTGTTGCTGGCTTGATCTCCTGTAATCAAGCTTTGGTTGTCAAATACGGACACATTAACCTCCTGCTGAGCTCTGTCCACCACACCACACACACAATGAGTCTTTGATGGCTGCCTTTGTTTAAGTATTAACCCAACCCCGAGAGTTCAGGAAATTCCTCTGTGAGGTCATGTGAAGGTGATGAGCCTGTAGCTCACTCTGGTAGAAATTATATTTTAACACACACACACACACACATATATGATAGCTAGCTAGACAGACAGAATAGGTAATAAACTATAAAGACATAATATTAGCAAGAGCTGATACAACGTAGACAGAGGCAGTGATGAAGAATATTAGAAATGATTCCATCTTACTTTAGTGTCCTTGTTGTTGTTCATTCGTTCAGTCGTCTCCGACTCTTCGTGACCTCATGGACCAGCCTACGCCAGAGCTCCCTGTCGGCCGTTACCACCCCCAGCTCCCTCAAGGTCAGTCCAGTCACTTCAAGGATGCCATCCATCCATCTTGCCCTTGGTCGGCCCCTCTTCCTTTTGCCTTCCACTTTCCCCAGCATAATTGTCTTCTCTAGGCTTTCCTGTCTCCTCATGATGTGGCCAAAGTACTTCAACTTTGTCTCTAGTATCTTTCCCTCCAGTGTCCTTGGTGAACTATAAATCCTTGGGGTGGGTTGTTCAACCACAGTATGAGATCTCTATTAATCTGGAGACTATATTGTGAAGATTGAAGTTGTCCCTTTAGAGTAGACTAGGCTAGGGGCTGATGATGCAATCAAATCTAGAAACCTTATCATTATTGTGTGCCTTCAGGCCATTTCCATCCTATAACACTAAGATGGCCCTAACGTGGAGTTTGTTTAGTTTTTTTTTTTGTTTTGTTTTTTTTGCAGTAATTGTTCAGTATGAGTTTATGATTGCCTTAGTCTGAAACTGAAAACATGATATGGCCAAGGTCACGTTTGAGAATTCAAACTCTTTGTCTCCCACAGCCCTAGGCCAACAATACACCACATCTATAGACACATGGCATCTTACACAAGTCATAGAAATAATTTTATAGCATCTGTATGAAACCCCTCAAGCCCCCCCTCCCTCTCCCCCCCCCCCCCCCCCCCCCCGTTTAAGGAGCTACACTGGCTGCCATGCATTTTCTGGTCCCAATTCCAGGTGCAGGTTCTTACCTTCAAAGCCCTGAACGGTTTGGGACCCACCTACCTGCGTGACCGCATGTCTTCGTTCATCTGGAGAGGCCCTGCTCTCACTCCCGCTTCCCTCGCAGGCGTGATTGATGGGGACGAGGGAGAGGGCCTTCTCTGTGGTGGCCCCCCAAGTCTGAAACTCACTTCCCAGGGATATCAGGCATTCCCCAACATTGGCAGTCTTTGGGAGGAGCCTGAAAACGTGGCTATTCCAGTGTGCCTTCCATGAATAAGGAAATAATTCCCAGCAAAATGTCCTCAAATGCACTTTAACTGTCCGCTTGGATTGCACTCCCCTCACTTCTTTAAAACCCTCTTATTAGATATATCCTACCTTGTTCATGCCCAGCGTTTATTTTTTAATTTTTAACTATTACATCTGACCCGGCCATAGGTTTTTAAATCCTTGCATGTTAATGTTTATATGTGATTTATTTAACTGTATTGTTGTTATTTTTTGTTTATTGCTTTCTTGTTTATTGATGTGCTTGTTGGGCTTGGCCTCATGTTAAAAGGGTCTTTGAGTGAAATTTGCAAATGCTAAGCAAGGGGCTTTGAATGAAATTAACAGCAAAAGAGAAATATACCCTTTCTCTGTAGAAAAAGAGCAACACGGAAGAAAATGTTTTAAAAACAAGAAGCATCATGTAGAGGTCATACAAAGTTGAGCTTACATAGGAAGTTGAGTTGTGGTTAAGCCAAAGGTTGTGGTTAAGTGCAAAGTCTGCAGGTACAAGAAGGTACTTTCCATCAAAAGCTCAAGGAAGGGGGGCTGGAAACGGAGTACTTTCCATGACCTATTACTTGAGTATAAAGGCCAGCAGAAACAGAGGGGGCGGCAGTCTTTGAAAGCACAAACAGAAGTGCTTCTGTCTGTCTCATGTTGATCAGCTTGATAAAATGGTGTCTTACATGAACCAATTGGACTCTGTGGATTTCTTCAAAAAGGGACCCTGCACCCTAAACCTGTGATCCCTTATAATGTAAGCCGCTCAGAGTCCCTTGGGGAGATGGAGGCGGGGTATAAATAAAGTTATTATTATTATTATTATTATTATTATTATTATTATTATGTCAGAAGTGCCCATGAATATACACAGAGTACCTATATTCTAGCTTCAGTACCAGCACTTCAGATATATGTTGAGTAAAAATACAACAGTTACAGACAGAACCCTCATTTTTGCCAGTCTTCTCTCCTCTAACCAGGGAGTCTATTATGCTGCACTGTTGATGTTACATTTAACAATGACTGCAGATTATGTTGACAACCCATTGGACTATACTGTGCTTTTCCTGCATGGCAGGCGGTTGGACTAGATGGCCTATGTGGTCTCTTCCAACTCTGGGTTGTAGGTTTTTCAGGCTGTGTGGCCATGTTCTAGAAGCATTCTCTCCTGTGAGACCTCATAACCTCTGAGGATGCCTGCCATAGATGCAGGCGAAACATCAGGAGATAATGCTTCTAGAACATGGCCATATAGCCTGAAAAACCTACAACCCAGTGATTCTGGCCATGAAAGCCTTTGACAATACATCTTCCAACTCTTATTATTCTATTAGTCTATACCAACTAAGGTTCAGATTATAAGACCCACATTTGGGATACCTAATAAAAATAAAGGTCATGTAATACCACCGCTCAGTCTGGGGGGCTACACCTGCACTTAGCAATCAGTTCTTCTGGAAAACTAAATATAATGACTGCATATATTTTTACAGAGGCAAAACAAGAGTTTTCCTCAACCCCTTCTAAAAATTGCAATTTCTGTTAGTTGTTTCCTCATGCCATGATCATATAGCTTCATGCATTGACACCAGAACAGAAAAACTTGAACTCATGTTAAATTACTAACATGTAGCCATAGATATGGATTGGCCTTTTTCACTTCCCAGGAATGAATCATGATAAGTTCTAACATTCCACTCTCTTGTCCGTGTAGATGACAATTTGTCCATCTTTGCATCTATAACAATTTTGATGCCATTACTCATATATTGACTGCTGTTCCTCTTTTGTAAAAGGCTTCCTATGCCGATACACATCCATTACTCTAGTTCAGTGGTTCCCAACCTGTGCTCCGTGAACCACCAGTGGTCTGCAAGAACTGAAATATGGTCCGCAGCCTCACCATTACTACACGGATGCAATAAGAGCGACTGCTCTCACAAAAACCTTAGAGTGCCGAGGCTTATTAAATATGGTTTTATGTGGGTGAGAAGATGGTGACTACTGGATGGTATATGTTCTTTATCAGGAAATAGAGCTGATGTGGTTTATCCTATGCAATTTTCTGAATCAGCATCCCAAATAACCAAACCAAATCAAAAGTTGTCCAAAAACCAATTCGTAACCCTTTTGGTACTAATATTGGAGAGTGGTCCCTGGTCAAAAAAAGGTTGGGAACCAGTGCTCTAGTTCACCCAGTTTCACAAATAATAATAATAATAATAATAATAATAATAATAATAATAATAATAATAATAATAATAATACTTTATTTATACCCCACTCCATCTCCCCCAGGGGGACTCGGTGCGGCTTACGTGAGGCCACGGCCATCAATATAGTATCGTATAATTAACGAATGTATTGTTAATTATACGACACAATGAGTTACTCAATTTTTTTCCAAAAAAAAGTTTACAGTATTTCGGAACACCAAAAAATATGGGATACAAGGCTTGCAAGTAACTATTTAGCACTAGCTGCCAATTCACTTCTGTTGGAGATACACTGAAGCCATTCTTCTTATCTTTATTATCCCACACATCAACATATTTACAAACTCCACTTTAATAAACTCCACTTTATGCTGCTCTGACTTCATATTGTGGTCCATAATTCCTAACTGTAATACAGGGTTAGTCAAAATGAATAGGCCAATAAGAAAATTAATTTTAGACGAATGTATGTTTATTGTAACCAAACTACAGCTACGTAGCGACAGATAAACTATCAAAGTTTTGTCTCACCTTCAGAGATGTTCGATATGGGTGCCCCGTGTGACACGGCAGATGTCCAAGCGATAGTCCAGTTCATTCCACATCCGTTGCAGCACATCCGACGTAATGGCATCGAATGCAGCAACGTCTGGGAAGGTGTTCGTTGAGGTCCTAACCCTAACCCTAACCCTAACCCTAACCCTATCCCTATCCCTAACCCTATCCCTAACCCTATCCCTTGAAATTCTCGCTGGACCGTAATTACTGACATTGTTTTAGCAAATGTCATCACACAAAACGCCTTCTCTTTGCTTGATTCCGCCATTTTGAAAACAGCGACCCCTAGCGACGCCTAGCGGCATTAACGTACATGTGTGTTGCTCAAAAAAAACTTTGATAGTTTATCTGTCGCTACGTAGCTGTGGTTTGGTTACAGTAAACATACATTCGTCTAAAATTAATTTTCTTATTGGCCTATTCATTTTGACTAGCCCTGTAGTATCATACTATCTTTGGAGCAAAGCACCATTTAGCATCTTTGCCATTCCAATTACATTTTAAGCAGGTGATTTTTACAAATACACATATACACAGCTGGAAAAATAAATGTGCTTTTAATTCTATTATTCTTGTGTGCATTTGCGTGCAACTGTACATTGCAAAAAGACAGATTTACAAATGCCACAAAATTACAAAATAACTTCCAAAATACCAAAAAAATACAAAATGTACTTATGAAAGAATACTCAACAGCCTAACAGTTTCTAGGGCACAAATTTGAATTAGTGAGCTAATATAGCTTATGGAAAGATGTGTACAACTTAAATAACTGAATGAGAATTCAAATAAAATCTGGACCCTCAATGAAGTTTTGGTCAAAATGTTGGGTTTCCAAATCCATTAACATTTTAACCAGAGTACAAATATGTAACAATAACCTTTGCATTCTTTAATTAGAAACAGCACACATAAATTCATATATCAAATAACTGAAATGAAACACAATATAAAAGGCAGCTTTCTGATAAAGTCTATGAACCAGATAAACTGGGTAGCAGCATTCATAGTCCCCAAAGCCTGCAATAAATACTGCAGAGGCTTGGCTACTTTTGTTGATTATTCAACTGCCTCCCCCTCCCCCCTCCCCAAAAGAAGGAAACATGAAATACAAAATATGAGGGGCAAGAGGCCAGGCCAACATTCCTGGGTTATCATTGGGGTGGCAGTGCTCTCATCCTGATGAAATTACAATGGAAAAACACCGAAAGTGTTTATCAATTGGATAGTATGACATATTTGATGTGTTACAATTAAAAAAACAACAATTTAAATAGATGGAAACATATTTTGAATATTAACAAAACCTATAACATGTAGAAATATTCAATAACTTTATTTCTACAGTTTCCAATTGATCAGTCACATTCTATTACATATATAAAAGTTCTGATGGCTTCGGAGAAATAAGATGAAAGCGTGTATCTTCCAGGAAACATGCTCAAGGAATTGCTGAAATTTACAGACATCTAAGTCACAGGACTGTTATCCAAGCTTCTGTTTTTTTCCAGGTGCATTTTCCTATAGGTCTCATATGTTGTTTCCTTCAGAGGCATACCAAATGTTTCATTTCTTTCCAGTAATTTTATTGCAGTTTCAAGTGGGATTTCTTCATCAACTGTAAAAATAAAGCAAAGATTTAGATAATTCAATATAGGCTAAGAGCATAGGGGTCCCTCTCCACAAAACTGAAATTGTAGCATTCCTGAAATAAATGTTGTCTCTGCTTTGTAAAATGATACCAATTATAGTACACTTCTGACAGTTTAATCAATGATGATTATATAGATTACAAAGGGAGATGAAAGAGGAGTGCAGCATAAACTTATGATAAAGGTACTAGCTGTCCCCTGCCACGCGTTGCTGTGACCCAGTCTGTTGATCTGGAAAATAAAGTAATGAGAAAGTGTTGGTTTCTAATATATGTAATTTCTTTGTGCTTGTGGGTAAACAGTATTTCTTGCCATTTCTTTGTCAGTGTTGATGTGGAGAGTGTCTGGTTTGCTCACCCTGGAACATGCAACATATTATCCTTCTTTAAGGGTTCCTTTCAAATCTATGATACTATATCTCTCTGTGTGTGAATCATATCTACCTATATCTATGACTGGATGGCTCTCTGTCGGGAGGGCTTTGATTACGTTTTCTTGCCCTGGTGAAGGGAGTGGGACTGGATGGCCTTAAGTATTTTCTATTGGTCATGGGGGTTCTGTGTCGGAAGTTTGCCCCGATTCTGTTGTTTTTGGGGTTCAGAATGCTCTTTGATTGTAGGTGAACTGTGAATCCCAGTGACTACAACTCCCAAATGTCAAGGTCTATTTCCCCAAAACTCCATCTGTGTTCATATTTGGGCGTATTGAGTGCTTGTGCCAAGTTTGGTCCAGATCCATCATTGTTTGAGTCCAGAGTGATCTCTGGATGTAGGTGAACTACAACTCCCAAACTCAATGTCAATGCCCACCAAACCTTCCAATATTTTCTGTTGGTCATGGGAGTTCTGTGTGCCAAGCCTGGCCCAATTCCATCATTGGTGGAGTTCAGAATGCTCTTTGATTGTAGGTGAACTATAAATCCCAGCAACTACAACTCCCAAATGGAAAAATCATAATTTTTTGAGTGATGGTCACTCCTTGTGTTGTGGTTTGGTGTGATTTTGTTCATTGGTTCTTTTGTTTTTAAGGTACTCATCATGACCAGAGCATTTTTATATATATAGATAAAGGTTTCCCCTTGACATTGTCTAGTCATGACCGACTCTGGGGGGTGGTGCTCATCTCAATTTTTAAGCTGAAAAGCCAACACTGTCCGTAGATGCCTCCATCTGGCCAGCATGACTGCATGGAATGCCGTTACCCTCCTGCCGGAGCAGTACCTATTCATCTGTGGGGGCAGTGTGTGTGTGTGTGTGTGTGTGTGTGTGTGTACACACACACACACACAGTTTTTTCCCTTTTGGTCCTGTTTGAACTGCCTGTATACATCAGATTTGCTGACCAGCACATGATCACAGGAGATATGACCTGTACACGCTGACTTTCCAGATGATTAAGATGTTTTCCTATGTATTAATAATTAATTAATGTCAACAAGTTATATAAGCAATTGTATATAAATATGTGCTCTGTTTAAATCAAGGTGTGTGGAAACCCCTTGATTCAGCTGCGGGCTGAGGTTTCCCACCCTTTTCCATGGAAAAGTAAAAACTTTGCTCTAGCCTGGTGTCGTTCTTCCACCCCATTTGCATCCCAACAGACAGGCTGCTGTCTGCTGCAACACATCTACTCACATTTGCGTGTTTACAAACTGCTAGGTTGGCAGAAGCTGGGCCTAACAGTGGGAGCTCAGCCCACTCCCAGATTCAAACAACCAACTTTTCGGACGGCAAATTCAGCAGCTATGCGGTTTAACCCACTGTGCCATCAGGGGCTCCAGCATAAACTTAATTGCTATATTTAATTTCTCCAACAACTTTGCCCTATCAAGAAACCAATCTCAATCTGGAAATAAAAGATCGTATCAGTGCCATTCATAATATAGAGAAAAAGGTGTGATGAGATTCCTCACAATTGTTAATAGTCTTGGCAAGAAACAAAGTTACCTTGAGGTTTATTTTCCTCTGTTTTTTTCCTTTTTGCAGGAGCATCCATTATCCAATCTTCTCTTTTACTTTTGATAGCTGTAAGTAACAATTTAAAAGATCTGTTGCTTAAAATGTTACCAACGTAGCAGTCAAATATTTTTGCAGCTTAGCCTAATATGTTGGCCTACAGAAAACCATTATTTTGCATCCTTCTGCAATTTATTACCCCAAGCCATAGGTGTATAATAAATAATACGGAAAAGTCACTGTATTCTCATTATATGCTTCACAATTAGATCCTACATTAATTCAAGCATCTGAATCTTTTAAAAACTCAAGACAGCACTCAGAGCTGTACATTTTTGAAAAGAGAGGACTGAAGGACCTTGCATTTTTCTATATTACAACCAGACTTTCACTATGATTGCCAAACGTTAGTTTCCTTGTTTTAATAAACTAACATTCAGCATCCAAAGTAAACACTTTGATACAATTGCCTTGCCTTGGTTCCAGGAAGCCCAAGGAATAAAACTTTAACCTGACAGCATTTAAGCTAGGCATAGCTTCACCACATGAAAGGGAAACCCGGATACTATGAGTACGAGCTGGAAAAAGAAAGCTTCCTACATTTACATGACTAATGTATGAGAAGCTATCCACTGATGTTGAAAGAGTGAATGTCCTCTTTATAGCTGCGTAATGGGTGCTAGCAGGACTGCTGACCAAGAGGTCAGCGGTTTGAATCTGAGAAGAGCAGGTTGAACTCTCTCTGTCAGCCCCAGTTCCCCCTGTGAGGACACGAGAGAAGCCTCCCACTAAGATCAAACATCAAACATCCAGGCGTCCCCTAGGCAATGTCCTTGCAGATGGCCAATTCTCTCACACCAGAGGCAACTTGCAGTTTCTCAAGTAACTCCTGACGTGAAAAACAGTCGGTGAAAACTAAAGAACTGCAAGCAGAATATAAAAAAAAGATTGACTAAGGGCCCTTCCATACAGGCATATAACTCAGAATATCAAGGAAGAAAATCCCACCATATCTGCTTTGAACTGGATTATCTGAGTCCACACTGCCATATATTCCAGTTCAAAGCAGATAATGTGGGATTTTATTCAGGTGTGTAGAAGGGGCCTCTGTTAAAAAATTGAGGTTCAAGGGAAATTGTATTAATCATTTTATTTGACAGTTTTATGGTTAATCATTTTATTTGAAGCCCAACACTACTAACATACCTAGGTCATTCTCAGGTATGCATAATATGCATAGACAAAAATATATTGACAGTTACAGGCATCTTAATGTAAGTAAATGCAAAACTGTTACCTCATGTCTTTCCTGGAGCCCTTCCACACAGGTCTCTATCCCAGAATATCAAGGCAGAAAATCCCACATTATCTGAGTGTGGACTCAGATAACCCAGTTCAAAGCAGATATTGTGGGATTTTGCGCCTTGATATTCTGGGATATATATTGTTTAACTATCTCATTGTAGCAGGAATATGATCGTGTACCTGTGACTGGGGTTCTGCCTTTCTCAGAAGGGTTTTCTTCATCTAATACTTGTTCTTCAGTGACTGGATTTCTAAACAGTATATCTGGGCAGGTTTTGAACTGAATTGATGGTTTGTCTTCTTCAGGCTTCTGGGGAGATGAGCCGCTTTTGCTGTTATCTTGAGACCATCCAGAAAAGCTACTTGATTTCACTTGCCAATCTGATCTAGAATGCCATGGTTCTAGGTTTGTTAGACAAATAGTTTTGTGCGTTGTCCGTTTGAATGCAACTCGGTTCAAGTAGGTTTTTTTTGGTTCCCTATGAAGAGATATGGACAGTTTACCAGTTCTTCTACTAAAACAAGACATTTTATCAGAAAGAGATCTCTCAACCCTCTTTTCTCTTTTAGTCGCATCTATCATTGCTTCTTTGCCTGGAGAAAGCATTTTCGATGTTTTGAGGGGTTGCATCCATTGTTTTTGTGGTGTCAGAGTTTTGCTGTTCTCTAAATGAGAACTTCTACATTTCCAAGCATTCTGTCTGTCTTTTGAATAAGCATATTTTTCCAAATTTACCTTTTTAATTTTTGGTGTAGTGGACTCAGAATGGTTTTCGGTACTCTCAGAATGGCGATCAGTAGACTCGGAAGATGTTGGTTCTTTATGTTTTGCTTTCTTGTATCCAAATTTTTTCCCCAAATCTAATATAAATTTATTTCCATTTAAATGTTCTTGTGAATGTGAGGTAGGCATACACTGGGGATTCTCATGCTTCTTAAAATCTGAGCCAATACCACTTACGTTTGAATCATTTATGGCATCATTATAGTGGATTGCCAAAGCTTTACGCTTTCTTTCCATTGCCTTTTGTCTTTTCAAACTCTTATTCGAAATGGGTCCCTTAATCATGTGCGTTTCACTAGAGTCCCACTTAATTTTATATCTTTCGCCGTTTGTTTTGTGTCTATTTATTATAGGTCTGTGTCGAACAGCATCTGTCTTTAATTTTACATCTCGTTTTTCAGTTCTTTGTTTGCTAGAGGAGTCAGATCTGCAGAGATTTTTAGCATTTACATCTTCTGTGTTTGAAAGATGCTGTGCTTCAGCTGTAGATGAATTCCTTCTTGCGTCTACATGGTCTCGCCTCATATCTATTTCAACTGCTTCCATTTCTGTCTTTAAGGGCAGAGAAGGTACATGGTGCAACAACTCTTTCTCTGGGTGCACATTAGTTTGTTCAAGTTTTGGCCAAGTTAGCTTTTCCGAAGATGGAAGTAGAGGAGCTGTTTGATCTCTGGTGTATGGCTTGTTTTCCTTTGCCTTTGTGTGTCCAGAAATCTTATTCAAGGTTCTGTCACATTGCATTTCTGAAGAAAGGTTCTTGGCAACTGTATCCAACGTAGAAATTGACAATTGATTATTTAATCTAAAGTCAACATTACAATTTTCACTGGCTTTTGGTCTATCTTTCACTGTAGTTTCAGACTGTAAACAAAGATCCACTTCTTGCTTGGAATCAGATTCTTTAACTTGCTTGCATGTACAAGGCTCCATTGCACATGAGGAAGCCAGCCAACCTTGTAAGCAACAATATATCTGCTTTTCTCTTCTTAAAGGTGTTTCTGATGAGGTCACTCCAGTTTCAATATCTATAGCCTGATCAGTTTTCAGGCTAACATTCTCTCTTGGCAACTTATGTTCTGAATCTGTTTTGAGATAACCACTTTCAGAGTTTTCTGATTTGTTAGAGAAGTGTTGCTTGTCTTCAGAAAGCACTTTGTTTGACGGTTGAGAGTCCAGTATTATTTGAATTTGATCTATTGCGTCAGAGGAATTGGGAAATTTTTCTGAGCTCTGAAGGTTTCCACTATTTCCAGGATCACTCAGTTTAGGCACAGGATCATTATTTTCTGTTTCACTGAATGTCTTCAAATAGCCAAGTCCATAAGGAAATTCTTCTGAAAGTTCAGCCAGTTGATCACTTAGAAAAGTTACAGGGGCTTCCGTGTTGCTTTCAGATTGTTTTTCATTTTCTTCAGCAGTACCATCTTTGCCAACACCTCCTAAAACACTAGAACCGAGCTGGTCATATTGATTTTGACACAATTCTTGGGTATAACTGGCAAAATCTGAATTGTGAACATCACTACCAGATACATTTTGTTCATGCTTCTTTTCTGGAAAAGGTATTCCTTCACTTTCTATGTTATTGTCTTCCTCAGAATTTCTTCCATTCATCTCATTTGCAGTCTTGTAACTTTGATCCATCTCTAATGCTGGTACTTGTTTTTTACTTTCTTCAGCAGTACCCTCTTTGCCAATACCACCCAAGCCATATGCAACACTAGAACTGAGCTGGTCATATTTATTGTGATATAATTCCTGGGTATCACTGGTGAAATCTGAAATATAAACATCACTACCAGATACATTTTGTTCAAGCTTATTTTCTGGAAAAGGCATACTTTTCTTTTCTTTTTTCTTGCCTTCCTCATAATTTCTTTCATTCATCTCATCTGCAGTCTTGTAACTTTGATCCATCTCTAAAGCTGGTACTTGTTTTAATGCGTTGTTAACAGCCTTTGTTAAAGTGGATGGTGATGGTAACAAGGTATTTCTCTCTGTAACACTTATGCTTATTTCAGATTCAGGTTCAGTTTTCAGAATAACAGGCTGCTGATCTTTACACTGAAGAGAGGGCACACTATCATTCAAAGTAGTGTCATTTTCCATGGTAGATGTCAAAGGACTGGTACTAAAGATACTAGCGATCTGGGAATTGTAACATGCATCACCTTTTACCAGACTGCACACGCTGGATATTTGTAAGACAGTGTCATTCTGTACAACTTCATCATTATCTCTTGGTTCTATCAAATCTGAAATAGTTTGGGGTAGTACACATTTTTGAGAAACTTGGTTGTCAGGTGGAAAGTAATCTCCTGAATCCGGTTCGGATTTTAGGTTTTTTAATTCTGGAGGAGAGTGACTATTTCTTACTTGACCTAGCTCAAAGCAGCAGCTATTCTGAGTTTCAACTTTGACTATGCCACTATCTTGGCTTGATATGTTTTCTTTACGATTTATATCTAAATCTTCACAGTGTTTAATTGGCTCAGATGGTGAAGAACTTGTGTCTTGTATCTCTTTAAGATTTTGTGATACTGGGTTATTATTTTGTACAGCAATTTGAACATAGTCTTTTGACATCATTAAAGGAGTAACGATAGCTACTTGTGGTTCAGCACCCTTTAGCAGGTTGGAACTTGCATCTTCATGGGTCTTTCGAGATATAGGAACAGAAGTCTGAGCTGTCCCATTTGACTCAAATGTAACTTGAGTTTGGTCATTCTGAATATATTCGTTGGTGTGGTTTTGCAAACTTTGTATCATTTTATAACCTTTTCCACCTTCTGCGGAAGGCAAACCAACAGATGATTGTGTACTTTCACATGTCTGTTCATTGAGAGATTCTGGAAGACTCTTCTTCCATAAAGCAAGACTTGTTTTGAGCTCCTCCCAAGAACAAACGCCTCCATTTCTACATGAATCTGCAGAGGTGATGTGGTTCTCTTTCTGGACAGCTGAACTAGATGCATCAGAAACATGTTCACTCTCAATGTTAATGTTTTTCACAGACTTTTGCATCAATGTAGGACATATGGGTGGCATTTGATGGGATATTTCAGAGTTTTCTTTTACTGCTTTGTTTATTGATGAAGAAGACTCACATGAAGTAGCTGAACTTTGAACTAAATTCTGAGGCTTGCGATTAAAGAGATGACGAAGAGCTTCTATTGCATCTTTGTTGATCTTAAAATTATTAAATGCATGATTATTTTTCATGTGTGGCAAAGGCTCTTGGGTAGGATTCATTTGAGATAGTTGGGCTCTTGGACTAGGAGTGCTAACAGGATTTTTAATATTGTATTCAGATTTACCACTACTGCCAGATGAGCTTCCATCAATGGCCAATTGTTTATTTTGATCTGTACTGTCTTTTACGAAGTAAGAACTAAGTATCATATGTTCATCAGCAGTACCTTGAAGTAAACTCCGTAGGACTGGCAATAAGTGAGCATCTGTGTTCTTTAGTAATAAGGGAATATCTTTAATCTGATTAGAATCACAGGAAGCAGGAGAAAATGACTGATTCTGAGTGGCATCAAGTGAAGAAAACTGTAGTGCTGGATTGGCAACATGTGAAGGCTGATTCTGAGTGACATTACCAGGAGAAGACTGGTTAAGATTTTGATTGTGAGCAGCAGCCTGTTCGTTCTGTTCTGCAGACAGAAACATTTTGCACTTTCTCTTATAATTTTCCCCAAGCTTTAACAAGGCATATTCTATTTTCAGAAGTTTTTTATAATCCACTTCTAGACTCTCTTTTGTTATTTTAGGTTTATTGTTAGAGGATGTTATAGAAAGGTTTTCTTGACTGATTAGATTCTTTGGTGGTTCTGAAGTTTGACTTGTCCGTAGTGTTAAGGCTCCATCAGCACAACCTATTCTTGCTGCTTGCACATTGTTTAACGGGTTCTCCCAGAAATCAACTGATGATTTTTTTGGCTCATTAGAAAGCTGATTTTCAGATCCTTGTTCACTTATATTATAGGCAGTGCTCCCCACTGTATTTGTTTCTCTAGAGATTTGGCCCTTCTGGTTGTAATAAGCAGAATATGAAGTACCATTTAGATTTGGTATGGGATTATGATAATTCTGCAGGTTTTCAGCAGACGTATTTGCAACTGGTTGTGATAATGGAAACTGTCCATAGTTGGTTTGTATAGGCTGGGCAGAATAGGGTGGTGGTGCTTGCAGGTTTTTATTGGTAACTTGATTAGGCACACTGCATGGTGAAATCTGAGTTGCATTTCTGTTGTGATTATAAGTAGATACATTGTACGGTGCAGGATTTATATGATCAGAAGCATACTGCTGTGACTGTACAGTTCCTGTCATGTTTGAATTCTGGCCATTTATTTGTTTAGGATTATTTTGTCCAACAGGGAGAATAACACAAGAAAAGTTCTGTTGAGAATGTAAATAATGGCTGGGTGAAGAATTAAGAGGGACTGCGGCACCCATCTGAGAGACAGTTCCATTCACGTAATATTGAACTGCTGCCGGGTTTTTTGGAGACAAATTATTTTTGCAAACTTGCCGATATCCTGGAGTTCTTACAGAATTAGAACAAATTTGTGGGGATTGATTATTGTAATTTCCCAAAACTGTATATGGAAGCATTCTTTGTTGAGGTATAGTTTGTACAGGATTTCCAGTACTACCATGTAATACAGTTCCCACCACAAATGAATTCTGAATGACGCCAGGTGTCTTCTGGACAAGTGACAAAGATGGAGTCAAACCTTTAGCAGCTATTGGTCGTTTCGAACTAGGATGGATTGGCTGTAAGGCACTGGTAGCTCCAGTATTGTGTAAAGGCAGCTTTTTTGCAGTCATAGGATTAGATGGACTATTTACGGTTTGGTTATTTCCAGGATAAACACAAATCTTCTGAGTAGGTGCATGGTCTTGAGAAAAGCCATGTGTTGCAGAAAATTGCTGTTCCAAAGGTAGACCCTGGAATTCAAATTTCTTGGCCTGCAAGTTGGAGTCAGATGAGCTCATGTTCCAGTCCATCGTGTTGTTAGTTCTTATATTTTCAGAAATCTAAAAGGAAAAGACAAATGGTATTACTGTAGGCAGAAAGGTAGTCCCTTACACATCAATAGATAAAAGCTGTTATCTGATTTACTGCTTAAATGAAGCTACTTCAGAGTTTTCTGCTGTCCTAAGACTTAGCTATTAATGTGATTAAAGAAGTTTAAAACTGAGTAAAAATCATACGCAAATTAACGTATTTCATACAACAGACTATGGGAGTATTCGTAAGTAAACAAGCCAACAAACTATGGGTTGCCTTGATTGTTTAGAGATCGGTTTCAACCTCTATTTCATGTTGTACCAAAGCTCCAGTCTATAAGCCTGCAATTCCCAAAATTACCCACCAAAAAGATCCTTGATTCTTCCTAGATTAAGCATTGAAATTACCCCCAAAGTTAACAGTTACAGTGGAATAATTTTGTAGTATGAATGGCTAAGTAAAACCAACTGAATTACAATACTTACCATTAGTTAATTTAGATTTTCTCCAAATTCATTTATCTTTCAGAGCAGTTGGTATCACACGGCAAAGTTTTCTGAGGGAGAAAAAGAAAAAAAAAGCTTCTGTAAAACATGGTGCATTGTTCTTGAAACATCAAAAAAGAATTGCAAGACTTTCAAGGAGTTAACTACCCTATGTTTAGTTTTAAAGTATCAGTTTCAAACCCACTGCCCCCTCCCAAAAATAAAATAAAATACCCAGTTGCATGAGCATAGGGGCATGAAAAATGGGACAAAGTTTTTATTAAGAACCTTAAGATAATATCTAAGCATAAATAAATGGAAAATGAGTCATTTGTAACTCACAGAAATACGCAAACCTACTGGCTATACAAGGGAGTCTGGCCCTGCCCCCTTAGGTATCTGTGGTTTTTCCACATTAGCCCCTAAACCCTGCAAAGCAGCATTTAATCCACAATGTTGAAAAGGTATGTAGGGACTATGTAAAGTAATGTAAAAAATAAACCACATGTAGTTCACATTTGATCAGCCCACACACTGCCTTGTCAGAGAAAGAAAATATGCCACGCAGTTGAACAATAAAGAACAAGTTGTTTACTCTTTATAGTTCAGAACAACATATGTACAATGTGATGTTATATCAACTCACATAATGTCCTTTTATGACAGATTTAAAATGGTCTTTCTTTGTCCATGTGGATAAACTCCTTCCGCAGCTCATGAAGTGAGAGTACACTCCAAACTCTATCTCTCTCTGCTTCTCTCCAAGCACTTGCATAGCTAGAGCCTGGACAAAATGTAACAGTAACCAAAAGTCCCAGGCTCAGCCAGCTCCCCACACAAAGTTCAACCAATCAGCTTTGTGCATCTTATTTTACAGTTGACACACAAACACTCATTGATTCCTTGCATGCTCCAACAGACTAGAGTAAAATCCATATTTCTAATTGCATAAAATCAAAGATATTGATTCCAAAATTGGAAAAGGATAAAAATGTTGAGATTGCTGCCAAGAAAGTCATTAATTGATAACATTATCAATCTCATAAGATAATTTACTAAAATAAAAAGCCAGCTGAAATCAGACTAATAATGTAGGTTAAATATAAAACAAACCAGTCCCCTAGTCCAAGTAAGATTTATGAGTTTCACTTCTTAAACAACATTTGGAATATAATCTGCCAGACAGACTATGTACAGTATGAGCATCTACTTTCCATTTTTTTTTTTAAAAAAAATGAACAATTTCACCAGGGCCTTTAAATACACATCATAGTTAAGGTATGAAAACTTTTTTCCCAATAAAATCAACCAAAATCCTTTTTCCCAATAAAATCAATCAAAATCCTTGAAGAAATTGTCAGTAATGTTGTTTAAACCGGGATGAAATATTGCTTATAGTTTAAAACTCTGTGTGTTCAGTGTAGAAATGTAATGCTGTGCAAGGGTTAAATGCACTAAGCTTTTGGACAGTTCCTGCTACGTCAAACATTCCAGAGAGGAGATAACTCCGTTCCTCTTCCAGAGATGTCCCTTGAAAGGTGAAGATGTGCCTGTAACTATTCTTGCACATAGGTTTTGTTTTTCTGTAGTTTTTCTAGAAAGTAACAATAAAGTACCTCTCCAAGGCTTTGGAGTTGAATGCAATATTCCTGCTTCTTGGCAGGGGGTTGGACTGGCTGGCCCATGAGGTCTCTTCCAACTCTTTGATTCTATGATTCTATTATGGCTCCAAGCTTCGTTTGTACTGTGCTTCTTAGCAGTCGCTCTTAGGCCAAATAACCGACAGAAATTACCATCTTTAAAGTTCTTCGCATTATGGCACATGTAGTAACATCTGTTTGACATATGTTACTACATTTCTTTTATTAAATGTTTAGCACTACAGTAATGACCTCTAGTAGGTTCTTGATTCCTGCACTGTCCCTCGGTCTGACTCTACATGCAACTGTAACAATGAAAATGTAAAATTCTTTTTCCAGCTCAATTTAATAATAATAAGCAAGCTATAAAAAGACAAAACTCTGGTTAACTGTAACCATGCTGAGTGAAAACAAAATGCCAAACTATAGATTATGGATATGGAAACTCCCCAAAATCTTCCTTTGGAATGCACTGGAGGGAGCACATGATCCAAAGGCTTGTTTTAAAAAGTGTTTGCATTGAGCTCAAATAGAGAAGTGCAACTATGTAACTGAGGGAAACAGCGAGCCATATAGACTCCATTTTGCTTGTCACTGCGGTGTGCCATGAAGGGGACATTGACAATTTCCATTCAAAGGATGCAGCCTGCCTCCCCCAAGGGAAGGCAAGTTTTACACAAATTGTTCTAGGACAGTGGTTCTCAACCTGGGGTCCCCAGATGTTTTTGGCCTTCAACTCCCAGAAATCCTAATAGCTGGTAAACTGGCTGGGATTTCTGGGAGTTGTAGGCCAAAAACATCTGGAGACCCCAGGTTGAGAACCACTGTTCTAGGAAATAGTTATGGTCGGCCAGTTACTGGAAACTGTAAGCAATGTACACTATACTACCATATATGGGACACATTCCTGGAATTGTTTACTGCAAAGGAAACTCTGTGGTGGGCTTCTTCCCGGAGATGTTTATGTTAAAGGAAAGGTTTGCATAACTCATGCTATGCCTAAATAAGGATAAAGGGGAACCGTAAATTGTCAACAACTAGGGTATAAAAATGCCCCAGCAGCGCCATTTGGGCGCGGCAGCTTGACAATCAGCATTACTCTATGTATGTGCTGTCTGTCCGCCATTTCCTAATGCAATACGAAATAAACCTGTGCTTGCTCTAACTAATTTGAACTCCGAGTCGTGATCCATAGTGACCTGGCAAGATCCCAGAGGGTAAGATTGTAGGGACGGAGCATTTCCGCTACATAATGGAATCCTCAAAAAAATCAACTTTATCACATAAAGTTCTCCTCTGTTGCCAGACATGCCAGAGTGTTTCACCACAGGACATTTTTGGTGGGTGTTTTTTCTGGACAAGGTACAGTTGTCAAACAAAACAACTGCCAGTTGTCAAACAAAAGAACTGCCATTGCACCCTGTTCTTTAAGGATATCAGGTAAGCCAAAAAGAAAGAACAAATATGGGGATGTAGTATTTGTAAATAAATTACTTATTGTTGCACCCTAGCCCTAAGGCACCTGTTCACCCAACACCACACCAGAGACCAATAATCCAATAATAAAGTGTTTATAGAATAAAGAATATAAAGGGGGGGGGGGGTTATATCCAAAAGTAGTAGTCAGGATATAAACAGCAATACAGTGGAGTATTGCTTATCCAACATAAATGGGCCAGTAGAATGTTGAATAAGTGAAAATGTTGGATAATAAGGAGGGATTAAGGAAAAGCCTATTAAACTAAAATTACGTTATAATTTTACAAATTAAGCACGAAAATATAATATTTCACAACAAATCAGAAGAAGCAGTTCAATACATGGTAACATTGTGTAGTAATTGCTGCATTTATGAATTTAGCACCAAACATGACAATGTATTGAAACAGCTGTAGATCTGGGCGGGAGGCAGACTACGTTGGAGAATACATTACATTGCATGAGCGAAGGTTGGATAAGAAAGACTCTACTGTATACAAAAGTAGCCAGAGTTCAATAGAAGTCTTTCAAAAATGCCAAGGAAATATTATAAAGTATAATATTATAAGGTATAATATCCCCTTTACTTTAAGTCTAGTCGTGTCTGACTCTAGGGGGTGGTGCTCATCTCCCTTTCTAAGCTGAAGAGCCGGCATTGTCTCTAGATGCCTCCAAGGTCATGTGGCTGGCATGACTGCATGGAGCACCGTTACCTTCCCGCCAAAGTGGTACCTGTTGATCTACTCATATTTGCATGTTTTTTTAACTAATAGGTTAGCAGAAGCTGGGGATAATAGCGGGAGCTCATCCCGCTCTCCGGCTTCAAACTGCCCACCTTTCGGTCAGCAAGTTCAGGAACTCAGCACTTTAACCAGCTGCGCCACTGGGGACACATTACAGAAGCTAGAAATCCCAAAACATATATAATCCAAGAATATGGATACAGGAAACACTTCGAGGCTAAACTCTTTGAAGGTATATAGGCAAAGGAACATGAAACAAGTATCTTGACCATACAAAAACCATTGACTTGAAAACTTGGCAATATGAACAGGAGACTGTTTTACCCCTTTAGTAATGTTGTCTCCTCTGAAATACTTGGAACCAAACACTTAATTTAAGCCCATCCAGGCACCCATGAAATCATTCCAAAGGCACCTGGATCTCAAGGCCTTATCTTGGCGGCGCTTGGAAGACCTAGTCTGTCTACTTTTCATGCCCTGTTTTCTGAGATCTAATCCAGCACTCCTTTGTGTCTTCACCCTGTTTATCTTCCCAATGTTCTTTCTCTAGGGAAACAGAAGTTTCACTTTCCCAGGTTGCTAAAGAATGTTTGCACAGCATCAGCCAGGTCAGTCTGACCTGTCTGGAAATCTACCTGAACACTCTCATGCTCCTAATCCTTTGGCTCTTGCCAGGCTACAACACTTATGAGGTTAACACAATAGAATGCTTTATCTACCTATTTGGTTCTCAGCCTTTTGCATTTTAATCTCTACACAAAACCTAGGTCTCATCATTATTTAAACATTATAAAAAGTCATGTATTATAAAACTGTTCACAACATGTTTGATAAAATTCTATTAAACGATATATTTTAAGACCTCTCACAATACAGCTCGTTATTGATCACTTAGATGCAACCAAGCTAAGTTAGTATCAAGACAGTCAAAGCAATGTTTCCTAAGCAGTTTCTGCTATGTATTTCTAAAGAATTGAAAAGCCATAAAGCTATAATTTCAGTTACAATTATATAACCCAATTAAGGCAATATTGGCACATTTGAGAAATAGATTAAGAGAAAAATCACATTTCTCACATTATCTCACATAACACCACTGAGTAGTATTCACACTCCCATTTTGGGGTGGCAAAATTGACATTTTTGTATTCCTCACATAATAGGCACACGCTCATTCACTTGTCCATACACCTGCCCTGTTGACAACCT